GAGGGCCGAGAGAGATGCGGCGTAGACTTTTAGTCAGCGTCGTACACTCGGTTCTCCTGTACGGGTCCCCGGTTTGGGCGGATACTCTTGAGTATTCGTCCAAAAACCGTGAAGCCCTGCTCAGGGTGCAGAGGCGGGCGGCGATCCGGACTGTTTCGGCGTACCGAACGGTGTCCGGAGTGGCGGCGGGTATCCTGTCGTCACTGCCGCCCGCCGACCTGCTCGCCGAGGAACGCGCCGCCGGGCATGAGCTCCGCCGAGAGCGAAACCGGTCCCTCGAACCCGAGGACCGGCTAGCGCTCAGGCGGATGACCATGTTCCGGTGGCGGACTCGCCTCTCGGAGGAAACGAGAGGCGAGTGGACCAGGTCCCTCATAGGACCCGATCGGCTGGACAGGTGGGTGGACCGGACTCACGGTGAGATGACTTATCGTCTCACCCAAGTGATGTCCGGCCACGGCTGCTTTAACGAGTACTTACACCGTATTCGTAAAGCAGCCGCGCCGACGTGCGACCACTGTTCGGATCGCCCGGGAGAGGCTGATAGCGCTTTGCACACCCTCTTCCGGTGCGAGGCGTGGGCCCAGGAACGGGACTCTTTGGAGTCTCGACTAGGGTCCACGTTCCGAGTCGGGTCCATGGTGGACCTGATGTTGAGGAGCCGGGAGGCGTGGAGGCTCGTCCAGGTGTTCGCCGAATCCATCTTGAAAAAGAAGGAGGAAGCTGAACGCCTGAGACAGAGGCAGCCGCGCCGCCCGGTACAGGAGGACCTAAGGCGCTGGTTTAGGCCGGCGCCTTAGGTACTAGTGTTTATATGTTTTATGTTTTTGTGAGTTATTTTTGCCCCTTCGCTTTTAACGGAGGAGGCCACACCACGTTGTGAATCAGCTCTTGATTAATTTCGGGCTGATTCACAACGTGGTGGTGTGAGTTTTAGAGACGGCGTGGGCCGCCCTGAAGTAATACCTCACGGTAGTTCCAGGGCGGTCCACAGTTGCGCCGGTCGGAAAAAAAAAAAAAAAAAAAAAGTGTATTGTTCCTGCTGAGTAGTCCCAGGCGACTTTCTGATCAATCAGAAAATCATGGCCAAGTAATATGTCACAATATAGGTCGTCTAAGATAACCGCTGAAAAGCGCACTTCTAAATCCACGATTTTGGCGGTAAACGTGGTGGTACCGTTCGTCATGGCGGTGTGTCCGTCCGCTAGTCTAACCGCGTCAGTGTGTCCTTTAAAAACAGTTCCGTATTTATAAGCAATTACCGGTTTTACATACGATTTATGCGCCTGTGAGTCGAGTAGGCCTGTGACAAAGCCAGTTTCGAATTCTAACTTGACTACTGGAGTAGTAATTCTACGCGGACATTTTCGTTGGCCATTACTCGGGTGGTTTACGGTTCGAACGGGGGGCAGCTGGTTCTTAACCGCGACGTCGGTTTGCCCACCGACAGTGTTAACTGCCATTAGTGGACTAGCCGGATCGACTGACACCCCCTCCCCCACTGTGCCCGAAAAAATTTCGAACACCTGACTCGCGCTTTGTTCGTTCGTGTCGGCAGCGTGTTCGAACTCCGATACCCTGATTACATCCGAATTTACCGCGGCGTCCCCTCCATTCCGATAAGAGGGGTGCGGTGCCGAAAAAGTGCCAAGATCGTTGGTGGTATGTAACTCGTAAGGGCCGTTAGATTCGGTGTTCTGCGCGACGGTCGTGATGTGTGATATGTTACCGGATAACAATTGCGAAGCGGCAAGGCGCGTTTTAAACGAAACGTCGTCTAAAACGCTGCGCCCTATTTGAATCTGTTGTAGGCTGGAGGGGCGGACTAATTCTCTCCTAGCCGATTGCCGTCTCCCGATACCGACGGTCTGTTTGGGCACTGGCGGCGCCAGTGTCGCTCGCCGCAATATCGGCACGGGGTAGGCGGTGCGTCCGCGTATGCATAACCCGCTCGCTGTCGGGCCGCTGGTTGTGCGGTATGCCGCAGATGCAGATCGGCTGGCTGTCGGGACGCTGGCGGAGCGTACCGAGGAGCCGCGGTTTTGTCTACGTCGTGCGCTATCTCACGTAGATCGGCGAAAGACGCTGGGTGCATTAACCGTATCATAGCGCGGTAATCGTCCCGTAAAAGCCCCGTTAACTGTCACACAAGTCGTTGTTCTGGTAACCCACAACGTACTCGCGCGGCCAAACGTTGTTTATGAATAATAAATTCGGCTAACGTTTGTCGGGGGCCCTGTCGCGTCGTTTTTAAGTCCGTCTCGAGCGCCGTCCGGATATCGATATTGTCGAACTCCTCGAGTAATTCGGACCTAAATTCCGCCCAAGGCATATTGTTTAATTTAATAGCTCGCCACCAATCACCTGCCCTGTCGTTCAAAAACGGGACGACGATGTTCACCCACGCGGTTGGGTGCATACCGCCCTGACAGAGTAGATCCTCCGCTCTGTCTAGAAACTCCCGTGGGTCCTCTTCGTTTCTCCCGTAATATTCTGGTAAACAGGCGCGTACGGTGCGTATGTCGTGGTAAGGTACCAGTACAGACCGCGAGCTGCGTGAGGGCGACAAAACATTGAAGGACCGCCGACCGTCGGTTGTGTTGAATTGGCCCTCCCTTGGTTGGCGCATAAACGAAAAATCTGTCGGCTCGTTCTCATATGTATGAGTGCGCGGAATATGTTCGTCTTGCCAACCCGTGCTACACATCCGTGGTAGCGACGCGCGCGACGCTTGTCCGTACGATAGTCTCATGTTGCGGGCTTCCTGCGCTTCGATGTCCGCGAGGCGCTCGTGTAATGTTGCGTCGTGTCGCGTCGGGTCCGTCGCTCCCGATGGACCGAATATAACGCGATGCGCGTCCGATCGTCGACTATCGTTTCGTTCGACGTTAACTTGACGAATATTCAGTTGTGCATCAACGTGTGGTGACGGCAGCATATTTTGACTGATTCGCTCCAGCATATTTGAAATCTGTCGCTGTTCCGTTGACATACGCGAGAGCGACCTTTCTAGTTCAGTCATCCGTGCCTCGATCCACGCGTTATTCGAAATGTCGCGAATATTCTGTCGGATCGCCCCGACTTGTTCTGCCGCGTGCGCTATCGAGCGGGCAACGTATACGTCCTCGACGTACGGCGCGCCTAGTTGACCGATGCGCGCGTAATTTCCCCCGGTCGTTCGACATCAGATTCGTCGTCTGATGTGTGTAGCGCGAGGTTCACCGGATGTTCCTCCGGTAAAGATGCTACGCCAGGCCGCTGATAGTTCGCGTCGAGTTCGTGGGCACGGTCCGTAGAGTTGTCTAAAACCCCCACTTCGGGTTCGCGGACCGGATTTTCGCTATCGAGCGGCGTACGGGGTGGTAAAATTTCAATAGCTGGATTCCTCCCTTCGCTACGTATGTTTTCTTCTAGCATAACTAACATGTTGGGTTTCGTCGCGTAGCATGGTAGCTGTCTAAAAGCGCATTCGCGACGTAATTCAGCGCAATTCATTTGTGCTAATGATTTCCCCGACATATTTATGTTTATTTACAAAACTAAATAATCAATTGTATGTTATAATAATAGCGGAGATAAACAATATCTCCGTGTACGGTCAAATTTACTACTGCTGTAGAAAACAAGTGTTATTATTATTGCTATTGTTGTAATAATGACCGCGATAAGATGGTCTGGAGCCGCGCGTATATGATATGGCAGCGAGTGAACAACAATAATAACGTTTACCTGGGAATCGGCCGCTTTGACAAGGTCAGACGAAAATATACGATTTTTATCTACCAAAAGACTGTAACTATCGGCCGGAAATTCACTTCTTGTCGATATCAATAAGGTTTTTATAATAAACTGTAACCAACAGTTTTTATACGACAATACTTACGGCGGATTCTATTAGATAAACTGCTCTAACTTTATTTTTATCCCAGAAAATTTTCCCAGAGCCCAGGCTAAATATAATCCCGCTAACACGTAACTGTGAATAACCCAGGTAAAAATTCACTGCTGTCACCAGTGAATTCCGTTCAAATAACTATATGAACTAAAAAATTTGTAAGGGAGACTTCACCGTTTCAAGTTAAAACTAAAATCTAATATAATTAGAAATAAAACTGAATCGGCTCAAAGCCTCTTACCTTAACTTTCCTCGTCCGGTTGAGATTCCTCTTCGGGGAGCCAGTTAATGCGTAATCCAGTATGGCACGATCGCACAAGTTATGTTTCAACGGACAACGTTTGTATATATATATAATGAATGCCTATATAAATGGCCGTAGGTAATACTATACACAGGACCGCACAATTCTAGTAACAGTTGGAGGCGATTCACCAAAACAAAAAATACTAATATAACACTGACAACAAAAATAACAGTTCCGCACAGTAAAAGCACAACGACCAGTTAAGGTATCCGTCGGAAACGCAACCGGAAAACACACCAAATGTGGTATACGTCGAAAACGGAACAGAACGCAATATCAGTAATCCATATTCGGCGGCGGCCTTATCTCAGTGTCAAGGGCGGGGAGATAACCGATGACAACCAATTGTCATATTAATAGCTGGACGGCTGATATCGAGAGAGACACGGGTGAGCGCCAGCCTAGAGCAAAAGGCGGTGCCGTGTTAAGTAATTTGTTAATATTTTGCCTTGTTTTTTAAACTTATTTATATAAAATAAAAAAAACTTATTATCATAAACTTGTAAGATTTAAAATTCAATAAAATATACTATTTTTTATTTTATACAATTTTGTCGTATTTATCTACACTTTATGCCTTTGTGTATAATGAATATTAAATATAAGTCTGTAGTACTAAGCAGTACAAAGAAGAGTTTTACACATTAAATAGCAAATTTAGTATAATCTATAATAATTGTAGCAGGTTGTACTATGTATTGTATGTAGTAGGCTGTTTATAAAAGTAGTAGGGACACTGTGTCGGTTTACCGAACAGTGTATCCTGGATTCTTATAATCTCGATTAAACAAGTCTGAACATGTTAAAACCTGTCTGAACGCGTTCAAATCTCTGTTCATCCTGTTTGAACCCCGTCTGCTTGTGTTTACAACTGTTTGTATCATATCTATCGGCGAAAATTAGACTATTAATTGCTATTGGGTTTAAATTAGTTAATAACTTCACCGTGGTGTAAGCATAGCGCTATAATCGTTATAAGATTTTTATATAAACAGACGTTACTTTAACTTGTTGGTAATGTGTTAAGTCGATATTTGTATACTTTAAGAATGGCTGGTTCTCTCGCTACAATTGCCAAATTCTATAACAAACAAACATTTTTTAAACCCCAACCTCACAGTGAATTAATCGATTGCACTGATTACGTTTTGAATTTCAATCCTCGTAAAATCATTCAGATAGGATTGGATCCAAAAGATCGATTTAACATAACTATTCGTTTACTATCGTCAACCCGTTACATACTTATAACGATAGATTTCCTACAATGGATTTATACGTTGATGGGTAATATTCTGTCGCTAATTCTCGACCCGGTATCAAGACAAAGGATTATTTTACTCAAGGATGAATACGTTACACTCTCAAAGACTACGTTTCAAGGAGAGTCTTCGCTAGTCTTTGAATCACAAGCACAAGATGAATGCCGAGTGTTACTCACCCAATCAGACATTTTAAAACTCAGCGCTTTGGAATGTTGTATCTTTGAGACTATCAATCAAAAGATGACTGTAATTCAACCATTGGTTCTACAACAGTTGGAACAGATGGCTCAATATATGAAATCTCAGTATGAAGTAAATGTGGAAAACAAATGTATGTTGATCAATGCGGTTTCGGATTATACGATTAGAAATAGTTTACCCAATAGCGATCTGAGCTACATAAGCCAAATAAAACAATTTGCGAGCCAGCAGTTGGAACAACGGTGGACGATGCTGGAAGAATATACTAAAGAAATGGTGAATTACATTTTTTTTTTTNATACTATAGAAATGGTGAGTTACATTTTTTTTTTTCTTATTGATTAGAACGTATTAAATAAATATATATCATTTTTTTTCAGTCTTCTAACGGAGAAAACGTACGCTCGACATTTTTTGGATCGCTGGCTGATGATACAACAGATGCAAATATTCAGTCGGAAACAATCATACCATCAAGTACAAACAACTAAGAAATACGAACAGTAGTTGTTAGTAATAGCTATCCGTCGTAAAACGACAAGTATCTAAAACATGTATATAATTTATAAAAAAATTGTTTAAAATAAACGTATGTTGCATTGATAAAATAGTGCTGTTATTATTATATACTGAGACATAATGAAAATCTCATTTTTAACGTAATTTGTAATTAAAATTATTATGGATACAAAAACTATAAATACGTTTAAAGAATAATATTTAAAATAATGATTATTATCTAGGATTTTATTTCTCTAATAACATCATATAAAAAAACTATGTTTCTATAAAACTCAAATCATTTTTCTTCTTCTTAATTCTTCAGAAAAGTTAAAACATGTTCAAAAACCTAGCTGTATGATATCATATGCATGTAAAATACCGTAGGGTATTCTTAGAGTTTTGATGGATAATACTTTATACCTTACCATTAAAATGTGACATCCCATTATGTAACTGTAGCTTAAATACTATGGCATACTTACACGTACAACTATTGTACTGTACAGGAGAGAAAAAACGTTGTAGTATATATATATATATATTTTACAGATATATACACGCATATACATATATTTTTTTAGAAAAAATACAATTTCTTACTACATTATGTTACATTAAAAAAAATGTTTTCAATTCTTGACGATATTTTTTTTTTTTCACAATGATAATAACTTAAAAATTATAGGTCTTCCGGTGATGGTATAGCATAATGCCCGTGGGCCAACGTGTCGATTCTGTTGTCGAGCATGTAGCGCTTATCATCGAAACGGTTAAGTGCCAACTTGGTTGTACGTAAAGTGTGTACCTCGTGCTCAAATGAACGGATTGACACGTTCTGTCGGTACGGTGTGTAGGGTAACGATAATGTCGGTGGAGAGTCACCACCACGTATCACTCCGATGACCGCATGGGCATTCTCTCTAGCCAATGCTCGTTTTGACGTATCGTCACCAACACCATCGTCTTTGAACAAACACCGTTTGTAATCGTCCAAAGACAGATGGTTCCGGACGACGTGCCCGCGGATCCCCTTAGACTTTATGAGTTCGCTGCCTTCCATGTCAAATGCGTAGCACTTTGATCGAAGTGCAGCGATCTCAAAGAGAGTGAGGCCACTGGTCTCGTCTGAAAACAAGCCGGGCATCTTCTTTCTATCGGTGGAGTAGCAAGGGTGATCCTTGGGCAGGCTAGATGCGTCCACGTGCACCAGTAAATCGGGGCTACCAGCTAAATCCTGGTAGAAGTCGCCTACTCTGAGCAGGTATATGAAGGAGTCTGAGAAAAATTAAAAATATATAAATATAAAAAATATTTCTACTGTACGGTTGTACTCACCAGTNACATAAATATAATAAAAAATATTTCTACTAAATAATTTCTACTAAATAATTTCTCAATTTTAAAATATTTCTATTTTGTACGGTTGTACTCACCAGTATCCATGTAAACCAATTCGATTGCACTGCCATAATGTGGTTTCAATACGTCGTAGAAGTACTTGTACATTAGCGTCTTGCTAATGTCAAGCACTGCTAAACCGACGTATATTGGTTTGATAAACTTGACCATCTTTGTGTCCATTATGACGGCGCACAACCTTTCACCGTATTTGATACAGTCGTTGAAGGTTGGTTGGTTTACGAGCTTGCTTAGACGTTCGGGACTGGAGATTAGCTCAATACGGATGCGTTTNTTCGGACTGGAGATTAGCTCAATGCGGATCCGTTTCCGCATGTTCTCCATTGTTTTCCCTAACTTACCAAAGACGGCATTATTCATTAGTTTGAAAAATGCTATTTCAAAAGCATTTGCCGCCTTTTTCCGCATTTCAGTGTTCAACTCAATGTATGGTTTCAACCAAGCACTTTGTTGAAACTCTAAANCGATGTATGATTTCAACCAAGCACTTCATTGAAACTCTAAAACGTGGTGCACCTGCAGTACAAATATTAATATTAGTATCATTGCTTATAGTTTATAGGTTAATTATACATACTTTATCGACTTGCAGTCCGTGTGCGATTGCCTGTTTTTAGTTGGCATAGTGTACGACGTACCGCTGTTTGGGTTTCAAAGTGGCCATGAGTTTGGTCTCTTTGGAACCCGGCGGTACATCGTTGACAGGCAAGAACGGCAAGTCGTTGTGCTCGTCATGCAGCTCTTGTGGATACGATACGTCCACTTCATATATACGCCCCGTATTACCAGTGTCCGACAACGATTGGAGGTCAGCCAGAGGGTCTGCTCCTTTATACNACGTCAGCCAGAGGGTCTGCTCTTTTATACCACCGGAAGCCACCGTATGGCATGGCTCATAAACTCATAACCCACCCATAAAGGTTATTGCCTGTATACATTAAACGTTATTAAACCACCGCTCAATTATTGCGCGTTTATATATGCACGTATAGATTACTTACAGTCTTGGTACACGATCCATGATTCTGGTTTTGACGGATCGTAATCGGGTGTCTTAGAATTGTTGGCCTTTGCATAGTGCTTGACGGCCTGCACTAGCCCACCACGAATGCCCTGTTCTACCATCAGTAGCATGTCGTAGTCGTTCAAGAGTTCCAGCTTCATCCCAGTGTACTTCAACATACAATCGAAGCTAAAACCAAGCGCGGTGTAATAGTGCGCCGGGTCCAAATTGTATGTTGAAATACAGATGTCGCGGAAGTTCTTAAACACATCAGCCAACAACAACACGTCGATCTTAAGATATAGGTCGCTGTACTCACCGAGGGTTGAGCAGTCGAAACAGTTCCACACCTCCGTGGTATGTCTATAGTCGTCGTCATCAATATTAGACTCACTCAACTGACTATAGAAAGCGTCCTGAGGTGGTATTTCCGTTTCGTCCAATTTAGACCAAATATCAGTGTACTCGTAGGGGTATACGCCCTTATGCGTCACCAACGGCATGTCTTCCGGGCGGAACATCTTGGCCGTCTCCCGGAATTTAACGAAGTCGGGCGTCATTAGGTTACCGGCCAAAGTGGACAGGGAGGAGGCCATGAACCGGAAGGTGTCGACAAACCGTATGGAGAAGTTATTGGTCACGTGTTTCGTGACCGAAATATACTTCTCCTCGGAATTCGGTATGACCGAAATCCTTTGGTCGTCGTACCCCAATTCAGTGACGATGAAATGCGCGTCGTAACCCGAAAGATTGTGCAAGAAGCACGGCACAAAATTGACTGTCTTCACTTTTAGGTTACTCGCATTGCACAACGTCTGTCTGAATCGGCCCGATAGATGGCAGTGGTCTGCGACTTTGGGGTTGGAATCCTGGAATGCCGTGCGGCACAAGTCGCATACCACTTTCTCCCCGTGCCNTTGCATACCACTTTCTCCCCGTACCTGCGCACATCATCGACAGACACTCGGATGGGGACGTTGGTTTTGCGCAACAATTTAGAAATGTTGCGCGTCACTTCAGTTACAGCCATCACAAATGCCTTGGCGACCTCTTCGCGATCCTCGGACCCACGGTATATCACCGGTGATTGTGGTATACCATAGCATTTGAGGAGCTGGGAGGGCACATCGTCCGATGTTTTCACCATGAACCCGTAGCTCATGGGATGGTGGGTGTGCACAGTCCTGGTGTATGCACCCATACGATCGTCTGTTTTCTCCAGTAAGGCCTCAAAATCGGCGTAGATGACGAACGGTAACCGTTGCGTCTTTACCCACGCGTCAAATTCGACCTTACTGCCCTCCGCCGGCATAACGGGTAAAATAGGCTTGTTCTTGCCGCATATCAACTTGTGTTGCTCCAACGCTTGNAAATAGGCTTGTTCTTGCCGCATATCAACTTGTGTTGCTCCATCGCTTGTTGACCCCTAAGAATATGCTTTTTAGGCTAATCATCAAAGCTGGTGAAGCAACGTTTGCAAAGGTATATACGGCTTTTGTGATTAGTTTTTTGACTGCCCACGAGCCTCGAAAAATCGGAAATGTACGCGTAATGATACTTGGCAGAGTCACCGATGTACAACAGGTCAAAATGATTCTGTTGCTCTTGGTCGGCGACTCTTAGAAGATACACCAACCACTTCATCTTAACATCATCTCGTTACAAGCCGTACACATTGACAGACACGTTAGGGTTTCGTCGCTCAAATATTTTAATTTGGGACACGGGTGTGGGGAACGTCAACCCCGTGAAATCATACCTGTGTTCCTCGTTAAAATATTTTCGATCAACGCGATATTTGTGGTCTCCCTCGACGTGTCTCGCCAAAATGGACCACTTGAAATAAGACTGATCGATATTCTGTGGGTTGATGATTGCTTTTCTTTGATTAATCTCTGGTGGGACAGGAATATATGATGAGCCGGCGAGGGGCGTATACTTGTATACGCTGAGCATAAGGCCGTCGATATGCGTTAGCGTGAATCCGCTACCTCTACCCGAGTACGCGTCTTCCTCGGCAAGCATAACCTCAAAATCTTCATCGACTGCACACCCGATATCCGTATCGGATAGCAATGCTTTAGTCCCTGTCTTGAAGGCACGATCTTCGGACGGTGCTTCTGATCACGGTATATGGTATGGGGCCTCTAATTTGAGATTATACTTGATCGGACGGTTACCTACAATTTAAGCAAGTCTGGCCACCAGCTCAGGTTTAACGGCGCGCAGAAAATCTCGATAGCTCGCGAAATTTTCCACGTTCTTCCGGTAAAACCAAACGGCCCCCCGCTCCAATGCGGAATCGATCTCGGTGAAATCACGGGTATCCGTCAATNCGGAATCAATCTCGGTGAAATCACGGGTATCCGTCAATTGCATACCTAACCTTTTCGACCTAACCGCACTGTTGTTAGCCCTACTACGCTTAGCCGCTTGATATGACGAAACAAATGTCGCGGAAGTAGCTTTAATAAAAAATAAAATAAATTATTTATTTATTGGAAAAAAAAAATAGTAGGGGTGGTAAAATTAAAGAGATATTAAAATGTTAATAATTGTAAAAATCTACATACCTGTTACAGAAGACGATTGCTGGTTCATGATTTTTTATTTGCTTGTGTAAAATATTAAAATAATAAATTTATAGTTTTCAAATAATCATAAACTGTGCGTTAACATCAATTAAACTCGTATGTGACAGGATACAGAGCGTTTAACCGGTTATATAGTAAAATAAAAAAATGCGTAGGCGTGAAAAAAGACAACGTTGCCATTTTTCTCATAAAATGCATACGGCAGTGACCATTAATATATGGTAACATCTTTGGAATTATGCTGACCTAAGCGTCTGGTAACCGATGATAACATTCTTAGAAATTATAATGTCATAACGACAGACGTTGTCTTTGTTCTCATAAAATGCTGACGCCTATGAACGTTATAATATAGTAATACATTTGATGTCTGGAATATGCTGACCTAAGCGTCTGATAACCAACGATAAAATATTATGTAAAAAATAAATGCATACAACAGTGATTATTACTGTACGGCGACATCTTTGATGTTTAAAATATGCTTACCTAAGCGTCTGGTAGGCAATGATAAAAATTTTTAGAAAAAGATAACTTTGATAAAACGCAGACAGCAATTATTTTTCGTAAAATGTTGACGGTAATGTGGGTTATAATATGGCGGTTGGTTTCAAGTTCCCGTTGCACTGCGCTACAGTGTCGGCGTGATCGGGCTCTACGGGGCTACGAAATGTCGGAACGAGCGCAGTGTCCCTAGCTTGGGGAATCGGGCGCGTCCTCAGGTTGCGGATAGAGGAACGGCCTGCAGATATGCAGGTTAGCCGTGAAATAAGCAGTCCATTAATTTGGACTGACGAATAAGCGGTCGCGGACAGCGAGCCCCTCGTTTGCTCGTTAATCCTGCAGATATGTAGGGTAGCCGTGATATAAGCCACTCCTTTTAGAGTGGACGAATAAGCGGTAGTGATCGAGGGTAATTTTCATAACGGGCGGGTGGGCCCGATAGCCTGGTAAGGCAACCACCTAGGTGAAGGTAACACCGAAATCAAATCCACTGGCGGCAGGTAAAACACAGGGAAGGACACCCGTAAAACCAAATATGGAAGCAAACCATTTAAAAAAAACGGTTACCGCGCCAGGAGAATCGGAGTCTCCAGGGCCGGCTGGTAAAGGTGTCGCTACAGGCCTAACCCGGTCGTCATCCAGCGACTGTACCAGAACCGTGGGACTGGTGAAGCAGGGTCCAGGGGGCGTTCGCGCCCAAGTAACTGTCGGAGGGTGTGCCAAGCAGGCACCCTCCAGTGACCTTCGGATCACTGAGGTAACTGCTGGTGGCGTTGCTACCACCGAAGAATGGTGGACGACTGGGAAGGTGTGCGGGATCGTTTTCGTGACGACATGCCGCTAACTCAGTCGGAGTTTACCCGATGGGTTAATTGGCTCCATTACATGGAGGATGGGAAGTTGACAAGTGACTGCTTTCCCTGTGGCCAATTCCGGACGGCCGAGGCGTTCCGGAGTTCGGTGTCCACTGTGTTAGGCATAATGCAGAGGGACCTGGACGACGGATGCTCATTTGCCCCGGAAAGGGTTATAGAGTACGACCCGCTGAAAGATGTCGATGAGCCCAACCAGAGAGTTGAGCACATCGAAAAATGCATTTCAAGTCGCCGAGGAGATGCCGCAGCGGAACGCCTTATGGGCGTTACTCGTCTCGTCGCCTCAGAACTCCTATCCCGTTACAAAGACAGCGGGGTAATGAGATCCATGGGGCGCGGTCTCCGACAAGCCGTCGATTATATGGCGTATGTGGAACGTAGAGACAGCGCAGAGAAGCAGGAATCGTCGTCTCCTGATGCTGCTGCTAAGGA